TATTGGTTTCCAGCATGAGTGTGGCAAGATTTAAAAGGCAGTTTAAATTTGAGTATCAGAATTACAATTACCAATCAAAGTTCTTTGAAAGAAGAGAAGGTCAAAAATATAATCATAAAGATTGCACTATTTTTTTTTTAATAACGTGATAATCTTGCTCTGCACTTTAAAATCTGATTATTGTGACATGCTGGGATTTTCTGGCTGCATTCTAAATCATGCACCGAGAGACCTCGCAAGCTGCTCACACTGCTAATGCCAGTGCCTAACTTTGCAATGGTTCTCAACTCTCTCGTTGTAGGAAGGTTTATGTTTTGTCGTCCCAAAGATGCTTATTTCAAAAGGCAAGTAGAGTTTCTTTGTTTTTCCTTGAAGACATTTCACTTCTCATCCAAGAAGCTTCTTCAATTGAGAAATTAAGAAACAAAACATCTTCAAGGAAAACCAAAGAAATCCTACTTGCCTTTTGAAAAAAAGTACCTTTGGGACAATGACCTGAATGACTGAGAATCTCCAGAGACATTTGTGTTTTGTTCAACAAATATACAATTTTATTGACTCCCCCCCCCTTTTTTTTTTACCCGTTTGGGTGCAAAGTTTGAAAATATGGTATTTCATTTGAACTTGTGATGTTGCTGTATATTTTAGCTAAGGCTAATAAAAAGAAAATCCAATAGATACATTAAAATGTCTGAGATGGTGGCTAAATACTGCTAGTGAGTTAGACCATTGACCCAGCTGCACTTAAAGGAGTCTGTGAGTCAGACTTTTGACGCCAGAAAACAGCAAAACTGAACAACTCATCTGTGGGTGTGTAAGAAAGAGAGACTGGTATGCTTGAGAAATCTGAGGTTATGCCTGTTGCCCCAAAATGTATGGGATCTTCTCAGGCAGAGGAACAATTTAAAGTTATGCTTAAAGTACATCCATTCTATTCTCCTATTCAACTATTTATACTGTGTTTCCCCAAAAATAAGACCCTGCCTTATATTTTTTTAAACCCCGAAATAAGCGCTTGGCCTTATTTTCGGGGAGGTCTTATTATTTTGGGGCATGTGGAGCAAGATAGGGCTCCTCTTGCTGTCTTACTGATTTCCAGCTCTGCGTTTAAATATTTTGGGGGAGGGCTTATTTTTTGGGGGAGGCTTATTTTAGCGCATGGGCTCAAAAGCCCGATTAGGCTTATTATCAGGGGATGTCTTATTTTCAGGAAAACAGGGTATTTAAATATATATAAGTATCTATATTTAAGTATTTGCTGACACTCAGTGCACGCGCGTATTACCTCTATGATTATAGAAAATTCATGCAAAGTTGAATTCAGATATGAAATCATTAAAAAAAATCCAGTCTCAACCAGGGGTGAAATGCTCCCAGTTCGGACCGGATTGCCCGATCCGGTAGTGATGGCGGCGGGTGGTTCGGAGAACCGGTAGCAAAAATCCCTGCGCCCCCCTGCCCAGCCGAGCCACGCGATCATCAGAGGCTGTTTTTTTTACTTTTAAAAGCATTTTTTCTACAACCTCTTTGGTCAAAAAAATGTTTTTAAAAGTTAAAAAAAAAAGCCTCTGATGATCGCGTGGCTCAGCTGAAGAGGTTGTAGAAAAAAAAAATGCCTTTAAAAGCCTCTGGTGATCCCAGCTGAGTTGCCTGATTGTCAGAGGCTTCTAAAAGCATTTTTTTCTGCAACCTCTTAAGGTTGTAGAAAAAATGCTTTTAAAAGTAAAAAAAAAAAAAGTTGGCCATGCCCACACAGTCACATTACACCCCACCACCACCAAGCCATGCCCACAGAATCAGCAGTAACAAATTTTAGATTTCACCCCTGGTCTCAGCACACAGACAGGGAGATACTTTTGGCTTTTGTTCCCATTCTGACCAATCTTAGAAGAGCAGACTCCACATATAGCAAATGTTTCCTCAAATATAATTAATGCTATTGACTAATTTCATGGGTAAAGGTGCCATATCTGCAGCCAGCTCATTCAAAAACCAACCTCCCCCCCAAAACAACCCCAAAATCATCTTCATTTCTGTTCTCATTATTCCAGTATTCACTGCCATCGATGCTTATTTTCTCACTATAAACAATAGGTAATTTCTTCTCCAGGTCGAACAAGTGCAATAATTTATCCTTATTTACTTTAAAGCCTACCACTGAATCTAACCAACATCATGCATCTTTCAAATGGAACCCATACACCCAGGCTGGCCAAGTATGAACAAAGAAATCTATCAGAATGGTTTAGCAAGTGTGCTGCCTACAACCCTCTACTTTTGAAGGCTTTAGGTTGGATTCACACATCATGTTAAACAATAATGTAGTTTGTTTGGTGGAAACCCAGGCACCCCTGCTTTGCTCAGTAAATCATACTTAAACAAATCATGGCTTTGTGTGAACTGTAGTGTTAGCATCTCTCCTCCAAGCCAAAACTTGCAATTTGGAATTGTGGCAGTGTCTGTATCTAATGATGACATTAAACTTTCTACCATGTTTCTCTGAAAATAAGACTGGATCTTATATGAATTTTTTGCTCCAAAAGATGCATTAGGACTTATTTTCCAGTTAGGTCTTATTTTGGAGAAAAATACAATTCTAAATGTGTCCGTCTGACTGACGATCTTAACCGGGGCTTATTTTTTTAGGGTAGGGCTTATATTATGAGCATCCTGAAAAATCATTCTAGGGCTTATTTTCTAGTTGGCTCTTATTTTGGGGGAAAAAACGATATTATTAGGAAGGGCCAGATTGCAGGATGAACCAAGCTAGAGCCATCAAGCAGGATTGCTCTAGTTAGCTCACTCTTTTGTGTGAAATTGCCAAGATGTCACAATGAACTTCAAGACTCCAATCTTGCTGTATAGATGGATATCAAACACCCACCCACGGGATACTAGGGATTTAATCACCTTAATAAATTCAAGATAGTTGAGATTTAAAAGGAGGGTCATTGAGGTCCTCTCATGAAGCCACTCTTTGCTTGCGGAAAAGGAAACAATACTTTGACTCAGGGTTTATACTTCGTGTTCAAGCTATGGTCTGTTGAACAAAGTATAGTGGTCCAATAGAGATATAACAATAAGAGATGCTAGGTAGTGGCTTGATTTACACACCTCACCTTGACAGAACCAAACGAAGCACGCTATGATTAAAATGTAGCACATTGTGTGAATTTAGCTAGATGCTTATTCCTTTGATCATTTTGCCTTCTCTGATATGCAAAACATGGAAGATTTCACTCAAGATGCAGATCCATCAATTTATACCATTACAAGTATAGGCTTTTAGAAATCTGACTTGTGCCAATTTCTATAATTAACGATGATACTTACAACCAAAGGCTGGGGCAAATATATTAAGGGAGAAAAAGAGCAAGGAAAAAAAATCAAAGGAAAAGCATGGTTATGCCTTGCCTGTTTTGTTCACTGTTATCACTAAATATTTCTCATGAAAGCCTCCCAAATGAAACATTCCAAAGAATTAATGGGAACTTCTGAAAAAGAGTAACATTCTTGGTTCCCAGTCTGTGTGTATATGTGCACACATTTAAATATTATCTTCATGATGTTTCCTCTGGTCAGGAACTGTAAAACAGGATAACAAAGGAAGATAATCAAGACATCTGTTTTAATGATACATTCCTGGAGTATTTGTAACAGGAAATCTTGGGGAATATCTGCTTCAGGAGATTTTGCTTTCTGGAAAAGGATCCCTATAACAGGAACAGATTTTTAACCTTTTGTCAGCCAGCTGTCTTGGAATAAGTATCTGAAACATAACTTTGGGCATTAGGTCAAAATGCTTTTCCTGCATTGTCACTAGATGGCAGCAAATGGACTTGATATTGCCATCTAATGGACACCAAGATGTTTGCAGCCCTGATATAGTAGCTCTATTTCTCATCACTCAATGGTGATGAGATGGCTTTACAGCAGGGGTGAAATGCTCCCAGTTCGGACTGGATCACCCGATCTGGTAGCGATGGAGGCGGGTGGTTCGGAGACCTGGTAGCAAAAATCCCTGCCCCCGCCCCCCCATGCCCAGCTGAACCGCACAATCATCAGAGGCTTTTTTTTACTTTTAAAAGCATTTTTTCTACAACCTCATGCGGCTCAGCTGGGATCGTCAAAGGGATCATCAGCTGATGATCCCAGCTGAGTTGCCTGATCGGCGGAGGTTTTTTTCCTTTTAAATGCCTCTGACGATCCAAGGTGAGTTGCCTGAGTTGCTTTTAAAAGAAAAAAAGCCTCTGCCAATCAGGCACCTCAGCTGGGATTGTCAGAGCCTTTTGAAAGCATTTTTTTACAACCTCTTTGCTGAAGACGTTGTAGAAAAAATGGTTTTAAAAGAAAAAAAAATTGGCCATGCCCACCCAGTCACATTACCCCCCCCCACCAAGCCACGCCCACAGAACCGGTAGTAACAAATTTTAGATTTCACCACTGCTTTACAGCTCTCTCTAAACGATTTATAGAGTCATAATATTGCCCCCAACAATCTGGGTCCTCATTTTACCTGACCTCAGAAGGATGGAAGGCCGAGTCAACCTTGAGCCTGGTGAGATTCAAATTGCCAGATTGCAGGCAGCCAGCAGTCAGCAGAAGTAGCCTGCAGTACTGCATTCTAACCACTGTGCAACTGTGGCTCTTATTAATGGAATATCAAAGCAGAAGAGTTTTAAAAACCCTTATTTCCTTCCAGAACAAGCTACAAACCTCTCAGGTTCATACAATGTCCTAAAGTCCAATCCAAACAAATCACACTGCATTCATACAAGGCTATTGAATAAACTGTAGTTGACTGTAAATTGTCACTCAAGTTTTGATTATACTGATTGGACTCACACCGGTTAAACTATTATAGAACAAGCTATTGGATTGGTCTTAACATAATTAGAAACTCAGCCCTTCTTATGAGAATAAGGAGACTGGTAAATACCAGCTAATTAACTGAAGGACTGAACGTTTGTCATCTGAGGTAACACTTTTAATAACAACAGACAGCCGACAATCCGGAACTGCCTCAAGAACAGAACGCGCGAACTCAGCCTGACAGTCCTTAAATACCCGGCCTGCCAGACGGCCAACCAATCATCTAACAGAATGTTACAGTGTATATCAACAGGGGGCCTCCCCACGGAGCAAGCTCAATACATTACACCCCTTCTCACCTGGACCGTGCATGCGTAATCCTGGAGATACATTGGATGGTGCCGGATTTGACAGAACACCGCGGACTGGACGTAACTAATTGATCCGGTGCAGCCTGATCTCTATTACCTCCTCGGACTGCCTGGATTTCATCGGCTGCTTCCTGGACCCCTGCTTGACAAGGATATTCCTCAACAACTACAGGTAAATCTAACAGCCCACTTTCTGTAGTGTCATCTTGACTGGCTGCCGGTGCGTTCCTCGGCTCATGTTGTGTAGGAACTTCTCGGTCTGTTTCTGGTGTCTCCCCTTGGTCAGCCGTCCCTGTTTCCTCTAGCAGGTTTGCCGCCCCGTGCTGCCCTTGCATAACCCTCCATCGGATTCTTAGTTGGTCCTGGTGTTGCCGCCAGACCCGGCCCTGGCCGAGTTCCACTTTATAGGAACAAGGCCCTGTGACATTCATCACCTTTCCGGGTACCCACAATGGCTGACCCCCATAGTTTCGCACATATACATAATCCCCTACTACGAATGCCCTGGGAGTACTTGAAGAATCCAGTGGCTTCTTTGGGGCGTAGCAGGGGTGCAGTCTGTCCAATGTGGTGCATAAACGGTGACCCATTAATAACTCTGCTGGACTGCGATTGGTGACCTGACACGGGGTGGTGTGTTGAACCATCATATACTCTACTACCTTGTCATGCCACCCTCTGGGCCTCATCCGCCCCAATGCCTCCTTTGCAGGCCTAACAGCCCTTTCAGAACAGCCATTTCCAGCCTGGTGGTAAGGAGATATTAGGCAATGGCGGATCCCTAACTTAGCAAGGAACAGCTCGAAAATAGTCACTGTAAATTGAGGACCATTGTCCGACACCAAGAGATCGGGCAATCCATGAGTGGCGAACATTCCACGTAGGGCTTTGATGACGGCCTCTGAGGAAATAGAGTGCATTAGTACTAGTTCAATCCACTTAGAGTAGGCGTACGCCACCACTAAGAACATTTGCCCATGGAACGGTCCCGCGAAATCAATGTGAATGCGGGACAATGGCCCATTGGGGTCCTCCCACTCCCGGGGTTTCTCTTTAGGAGGCATAGGCTGTGACTTCTGGCAATGACGACAAGTTGCTACCCACTCAGTGATACACCAATCGAGGTTCAGCCACCATATATAGGCCTGTCCTAAGGCCTTCATGCGCACTATACCGGGGTGCCCCGAGTGCAAGGACATCAGGACAGAAGAACGTAATGGTTTAGGTACCACCACCCGGTGACCCCACAACAAACATCCCCCTTGGGTCGATAACTCCGTTTTACGCACAACATAAGGTTGCCATTCAGGGCCCAGGGAACCCAGGGGCCACCCCCTCAGTACCCAGTCCAGGACCTTGGAGATCTCCGGGTCTCTAGCAGAGGCCCGCGCGATGTCGGAAGCAGTCAAAGCAAATGGAGAACTGTCAATTAAAAGGATGGATGAAATGGGAGCTGGGTCACAGAGGAATGTGGGAACTGGGCAACGGCTGAGAGCATCAGCATGAACCATATTCTTCCCCGGAACATAGGTTAACGTGTAGGAGTATGCAGATAGAAAAACAGACTACCTGGTAAACCTAGGGGAGAGAAATTGAGGTGCTTGTCGGTCCCCGGCCAGCAGCCCGAGCAAAGGCTTATGGTCCGTAACCAGGTAGAATGGACGGCCGTAGAGATAATCATGAAAGCGTTTCACCCCTGCTACTAAAGCCAAGGCCTCCTTGTCCAACTGCACATAATTTCTCTCAACGGGAGCCAACATGCGAGAGAAAAATGCCACAGGGGCTTTGTGGCCATCTGGAAACCGGTGACTCAATACAGCGCCCACCCTGTACGGGGATGCGTCAGATGCCAGCACTAGGGGAAGAGTCTCACAGTACTGCATTAGGACAGAATTGGAAACGAGCAGCCTCTTGACAGCAGCGAACGCCGAGGCCGCTGTAGCATCCCATATCCAACGCGCCCCACGATCTAATAAACGATGGAGTGGCTCCGCAACGGATGCCTTGTGAGGCAGGAAGATGGCATAAAAGTTTAAAAGGCCCAAAAAAGCTTGGAGTTCAGCCTTATTAGTGGGGCCTCGAGGATGGCTTTAGTCTTTGCTGCCATGGGATGTATCCTGTGTTTGTCAATTAGAAATCCCAAGAACTCCAATTACAGCATTAACCACACATGAAGATAATGTTCTTTTAAAGGACATGCTGGAAGGAATGGCCAGGAATAGATTAAGAAGGAAGATCTGTCTATGGACAGCCATACGGAAGGAATGGGACAGATTAATGAAATAAAAGATTAAAAAAATGCTTTGAGTATGTCACATTAGAAGAGATTATTGTACTGGCTGGCTTTGACAACAAACTAAAATATAGCAACTATGGAGATTCTCAGTCATCCAGATCATGGTTGTCCCAAAGCAGAGGTGGGCTTCAACAGGTTCTGGAGAACTGGTAGCGGAAATTTTGAGTAGTTCTGAGAACTGGTAAATACCACCTCTGACTGGCCCCGCCCCCATCTATTCTCTGCCTCCCAAATCCCAGCTGATTGGGAGGAAATGGGGATTTTGCAGTAACCTTCCCCTGGAGTGGGGAGGGAATGGAGATTTTACAGTATCCTTCCCCTGCCGCACCCACCAAGCCACGCCCACCAAGCCACATCCAGAGAACCGGTAGTAAAAATTTTTGAAACCCACCACTATCCCAAAGGTGTTCTTTTTTTTCAAGAGACAACTGGACTTTCTGGTTGAAGACATTTCAAGCTGAAGAAGCTTCTTGGGTGAGAAGCAAAACGTCTTCAAAAAAAAAAAAAAAAAAAAACCAGAAAGTTGCCTTTTGAAAAAAAGCACCATTGGGTTAAAATACAGTATGGCTTATTTGAGTTGAGGTTAGTATTTTGTATCAACTACTCTATCATTTTTAGTCGTCAGTAAACCATCGTTAAACAGCTCATGAGTTAGCTAAAGTCCAATCTTCTACGAGAGATTTTAGGGTCAAAACTGAGAGTCATATAGGAATATCACTACTTTTGTCTCCGAAATGTTCGGGCTATTCTCTACATCATAGAAAATATCAAATGTAGGAATCCACTCAAAACTGGTTGCCAAGCATGTACCTGATTAAATTCAGTTTGCTTACTGATTTGTTTATCAAATTTGTATACTGCTACAGAATCACAAGATTCTTCAAAATAAGGAAACACAATAAAACGGCAAACCATTGAAATAAGATAAAGAAAACCCAGTACAGTTTTCCTCCTACAGCTCTCCAGAAAAACTCTATTTTCAGATTCTTCCAGCAAAAAAAAAAAGTTGGAGGTAAATGAATCTCCAACAGGAGGTCATTCCAGAGGGACCTCACTGAAAAAACAATAATGCATCCAAGCTGGTTTATCCACTACCACCTCCCAGAAAACAGGGACAAGCAGCTGCTTCTCCTGGCATGACTCTAGTGGCAGATGTGCAGATAATCAGGTGCTTTAAATGTTACACTTCAACTTGCACTGGAAGCAAATTGGAAGCCGACAAAGGGCCTGTAAAACAGCTGCAATGTGTGCTCAACAGTCCACATTTGTGAGCACCTAGTCCTTTGCATTTTGCACCAACTGAAGCACAAGTTTAATTGTTACGGACAGTGCCATGTAGAGTGCATTGTAATAGTCTAATTAAGTGGTGATATGGGTCACTGTAGGCAGACCCTCTCTCAGGTAAAACCACAACTGATGCTCCAGCCAAAGCCATGACTTCCATCTGATGTTCCAGCACTACCTACAAAACTAGGTGGACCTCCAAGTCACAAACCTATTACTTCAGAGACAGTGCAACCCCATCCAGAGAGAAAACATAGGACAAAGAGGATGCCCAGTGTGTAAACGGTAGTGTTGTGGTCCACTGGCAGCCTGCGGAGCTGGCAGCAGAGTCGGACAGTGAGGAGGCTGGGGAGGAACATGGGCCAGTCCTGAAGTCTGGGGAAGGCTTGAATGAGGGCTTGGTGTCAGAGGCAGAGATGGGGCCAGGGCCATCTGGGAGTTATGTGCTGACTCCGGAGCCTCCAGAGTCTGACATCAGCAAGGCAGAGGAACAGGGGGAGCCTGTTCCCAGTGCACACATGTGCAGAGCTGCCAGAAGGCAAGAACAGTTGAGACAAAAGGGGCGACTCTGGAGTAAGGCTTGGAGATGATTGGCCCCTCCCATAAGACATAAAGGAGGAGCAAAGGGACATGAGCCTTTGCAGGAAGCAACTTTGTTTATGCTGGTCGGTTTAAATTCTCAAGCTCCGTTTTGACTCTGTACTCTGTGTGGCCTTGCAAAGCTAATTGCCAATTGGGTCTTTGGCAGCATGTCAAGGGAGATAAAGGAAGCCTAGGTCAGAACAGGTAGCTCTGTCTTGCTAGGAGGTTTTTTAATCCTGTTTTTCCCCATCCAGACCAGCATAGCCTCCAGACATTGGAACAGGACTTTGATAGTATCTCCAGTTATGAACAATTGGCTATTATTAGTGTATTGATGACATCAGACCCTAAACAGCTAGATTATCTTCCTTATTGGTTTCATGTATAAATCAAATAACGAGGTGGAGAAAACTGACCTCTGCGATACTCAACAAGGGAGCAATCATGATGCCAATCTCTCCCCTATCACAGCTCCCATCTAGAACTGGCTGCTGCAAAATAGGACCCCCAATCCCCAATCCCCATGGCTGGTCCAGAACATTGCTATGGTTGATACTGAAGGTTGCTGAAAGATCCCAAAAGACCAGGACAGTCCCACTGTCAACCACTAGACCAATGCTGTCCCTGTCCTTGATTGATATAACATATTGTTTGCTCCATAAGATGCTCCTGACCATAAGATGCACCTAGGTTTAGAGGAGGAAAACAAGAAAAATGGGCCTGGTAGCTCAGCAGACTAAAAGCATTGTGATTAACACCAGCTGTCTGCAATTACTGTAAGTTCGAATCTCACCAGGCTCAAGGTTGACTCAGCCTTCCATCCTTTCTAAGGTAGGTTAAATGAGGACCCAGTTTGTGGGGGCAATAAGCTGACTTTGTATAAATATACAAAAAGTATGAAGACTATTGCTTAACGCATTGTAAGCCGCCCTGAGTCTCCAGAGAAGGGCGGCATATAAATCAAATTAAAAAAAAAAAATCTGCCTCTGCCACCCTTGCAGCAA